GCCTTTTAATATGCTGCTACACTCAGTTTGCTAATATTTTGTTGGAGACTTTTGTATCTATATTCATAAGGGATTGCTGTAGACTCAATGGTGATATCCTCCCAAATTCATATGCTGAAATTCTGACCCCCAGTGTGATGTTATTAGGACGTGGGGGCTTTGATGGTGATTGAGTCATGAGGGTAAAGCCCTTGTAAGACACACCTCGGAGAACTCCCCGTTCCTGTCTACCGGGTGAGGCTGCATAGAGAAGATGTCACATATGAAGCAGGACAAGGACGCTCACCAAACACTGGATCCACCAGCCCCTTGATCTTGGAATTCCCAGCCCTAATGAACTAAGACAGGGATACTGGCCTGTAGTTTGCTTTTCTCATGGTCCTCTTATCATGGTTTTAAAAGCTGCTTGTCTGTCCTCCAGGTAGAAGCTGTCTCTGATAAATGGGAAGACGACAGGAAGAACCACGGTGGGGGGCTGTCAGACTCCAGCCCCCGAATGCTGATCGGCTGTGTGACTTCCCTAATGGCAAGTGCCGGCTACATTAACCAGACCACGTACTTCTCTCTGGAGAGTGTCTGTGAAGGTATGCTAGAGGGATCTCTGTTTCACATCTAAAAGTTTTTGTGTCTTAAAGGATTTTCATGTATTAAATCTCAGATGGCTACATATGTCCTTGAAAGGATTAAATTTGGGAATGCTTTGTTTGTGGACAGGGTTTTGGAACTAGATGTCTTCTCCAGGTGCTAGCTTCATGCAGAGGCTCTCGAATGTAGGGTGGACTTTGGGCGGGGGGCGGTCACTGGTTAAACTCCTGCTCTCATTTGTGCTGATTTGTTGAATGCAGTCTCTAATCTCTGGGTAGTTCCTTCCATATAATTATTAAGTTAGTAATCTAAGTCAACAGCATTACAGGTATACATACACATAAAATATCTTTTTAAAGTACTTCAGGCCAGGTGCGGTGGCTCACGCCTGTAATCCTAGCACTTGGGGAAGCCGAGGCAGGAGGATTGCTTGAGGCCAGGAGTTTGAGGTTGCGGTGAGCTATGATGATGCCACTGCACTCTAGTCTGGGTAACAGAGCAAGACCCTGTCTCAAAAAAATAAAAGTAAAGTACTTCAAATGTTTTAAAATATTTGGGCTTGGGGTTAGCCTTGTACCTTTCCAAAAGGGTATACCATTTTTAATTGCCGTTATTTTTGGCTGCTCTAAAGTTTTGTTTTTATGCCTGAAGAAATAAGTTGTCGATGCCATTTATTGCATTTAATTCAACAGCTATTTACTGTGCACCTGCTGCCTGCAGCAGTGAGTAAGGAGCTGGACACTCAGAGACTAAGGGGAGACTCAGCTTCTCCTCCCTGTACATACGTTGTATCAGGGCAGGGGTTGGGAAAGCTGCCTGGGGCGGTGCTTTCCAAGCTGATGTCCACGTGCACAGCCTGCCAGTGTGAATGCCAGAAGATGAGTAGGAGCAGTGTCTTCTACCGCCGTGAGCAGAGTCAGGTGCCTGTAGCCTGGGAGCCAAAGAGCGATTGGCTCAGCCCACTACTTTACGAGAAGAGTAAAAGAGCGCTTTTATTCTTCTTGACCTTGATTGCTAACCATGGGGTCCCCAGGATGAAACTGATAGGTGACTATTGGGATTTTAAAATCTTCTGCCCGTCGGAGAGACTCTCTGTTCTTGGGAAAGATGCTTCTGATCGTCCAGGCCCCTCACCCATGCTCACAGGAAGCCCCTCCTGGGGGCCTCCTGGGGACACGCCTCAGATGGAGAAGACCAGGAATGGCTGGATGCTGCGGATGCGGATGAGGCACAGAAGAGAAGTTTGCCTTGGGGAACGAAGACGGGGTGGGGTTTCCTGACCTCAGGCTGGGGGATTTCCTGGTACACAAAACCTCAAGTGAGGGGACTCGAGTTGTTCTCTCAAGGCTGAGAGAGACCCGTACGAATGTGTCAGAATTGCTGTTGATATCATCACAAAAACTAATGACATGGCAAAAGAACATTCTTGAAAGAGAAAATACAATGTGGAAAAAAAGATGATAATGGGACTCTAAAATAGAGGTGCAGCCTGTGGGCCATGCAAGGTCTCTGCAGAGATCCTCGCCTCTGGGACGGAGGCATCTGTAGCTGGAAGCAACCAGGGACGTACCTGAGCTGAGAGGCTGTGGCTGTATCCCCGTGAAACTTTGTTTATAGTCTCTGACCTAGAGCTGAGAAAAGGAAAATTCTGCTAAATTTTTCATTTACTTACGGGAAAGTTAGAAGATGCTGGTTTTTTCTTGATATTAACTCAACAAATATTGATGTGCCTTACTGTGTCGAGACTGCTTCATGGAATTCACATTCTAATGGGAGCAAGAGCAGACAGTGAACAAATAAAACAACTAGATACCTCGTGCTCTGCAGAAACTGTAAAGGTCGTATGGCAGAACTAGGAGGGGCGGCTTGGGGCTGCTCCCTGTGTGCAGCCTTGAGGGACGCAGCTGAGGGTCACAAGTAGGGCAGGAGGAGAGTCCGGGAGATGCGTGCTGCCCTGGCTCTGTTCCCTCCTAACAACCTTCTGAGTAACCTTGGTGAGGTCCAGCTCACGCGGGCGGCTGAGGTGGAGAAATACCTGCAGTGTGGGAGTTGAACAAATGTGGACAGTGTGTTCGTTTTGGGCGCGCGTCGCTGGAGAAGAGTGTGCTCACGTGTGTCTGAACAGCACAGTCCCTTTGGTCCTGAATCATTCTCGCAGCTGGGCCTGCCTTGTGCACTGTGGGGCATTGCGCAGCATCCTGCCCCCACCCCCGTGTCGTGACAACCTAGGATGTCTGCAGACATTGCCAGACGGCCCCTGGGGGACAGAACGGCCCCTGGTGAGATCCACTGGCCTAAAGGTGGGGTCTGAGCTGTGAGTTTGTGGTGGTCCTGTCTCATTCCTCTTCGTTCTCAGGTAAACGCCAGGTAGTCCTGCAGCCGGGTTGTTGATGCACGACCTCATGTCATCAGTGTGGCCACGGTGCCCTGCTGAGTCACGCACCAGATGCTTGCTTTATTTTCTAATTACACTGGTTTGTGCACCCACTTAGAGGATTAAGAGGAAGCCCCGAGCCCCTACCTGAGACCTTCCCTAGGCCAAGCACACAGTGCTAGGCCTGGCCCAGCAGGGTCTGCCCTGTGCTAGATGCCTCTGTGGCGGCCAGTGCAGCCTGCTTTCATGCCCAGCCTGAGCTCCTCAGGTTGTCACTCTAAAGCCTGCCTGTGCCCAACACCTGCTCTCCCTAGTCCCCAGACCGGAGCCCTTCCCTGCCGCACCAGACAGACTTCACAGCCTCCCCAGGTCCCCACCCCAGCCTGCCTGTGTGGACTGTCGGCCTTGCTCTCAGTGCTTGAGGAAAGCACCAGCAGAGGGTGGGGCGGCAGGGTGGTGAGTTTGGGAGGGGCTTCCCTGCCTGGTGCCCTGCAGAGACTTCTGTCCCCCCTCCCCAGGCCACAGCTTTTGCAGAGCAACTACTTCACAGCCAGAGCTGTGGCCAGGTGACCACATGATGTAGTGTCCCAACCAATACACATCCGAGAAGTGAAAGGGGTGTTGAGATTAATTAACGTTAAATCATTTTGAAGTGTTTATATATTGGCTAATGTTGAT